TCATGCGGACGGTAAACAACGCGACGTATGTTAGCGCAATCGTTATGCAACGTCTCGTGTACTTCCACGTTCCGTTGACTCGTGGGCTCGTAATCTTATGATCCAGCCGGATTACAAAGCCTTGCGACATTTTGGAAAAAAACGGGAACCGGAGTCGAGACTGCGCCCCGACGAGACCCGATCCGTTCTCTGTTGCAATTACCAATATTTCTCCCCCTCCGCGACCAATCGACGTTCCCGCTGAAATATTTCCTTCGATTTCAGCTGAGAAATGCCGTAAATCTCCCCTGGCGACGTTCTTTCGCTACATAATTTCAGCGAAATGGACCCCGAGAAGGACCATTTTCAGGTTGGTCGTTTCGGTTATCTCGGAATTGGAAGCTTTTCTTTCTGTTCCTCATCAGGAATCATTCTCTTCGGAATGCACTGGTGGTCCATTAACGTTCCACCGGAATATTTTTCTCGTTATCAGCAGGACATCGTTAGCATTAAACTGAAAAAAATATAAGGTAAGATATCTTATGGAAGATCGGTCATTTTCTGTAGATCCCTGGTCAGGAATTTTAATGTAATTGAGATGTGTTGTACTCTAGATTAATTTAAAAGGAGTTTAAGTCATCACTTGACTGGTCTCGAGTTTGTTTAAGAAATACACGATGCCAAATTTCGACCATGTTTGTTGTACACCCTGAACCCTCTACTCGATAGAAGGAATTGTATCGACCATGTATCGACCAGATACATGCGACGGATACATTATTTACCTAATATAAGCGTATGTAGCTCGAAATAGACCCCGAGCACGACGTCTCAGATTTCTATCGGGGCCGTGTAATTTAAATAGTTTGAGAAATGCAAGAAATGTCCCAACACGTCGAGCAAACATTGTCGTGGTTTTTCGAGGCGGAACAGAGAACTTTTCCAGGTCCCTCGGAGCAGGAAGGCCGGAACTTTCACGTTGTCGCGGTCTTACGTCGCGGGGAATTTACGGACGAACGCAACAACAACCCGAACCGAACACGTCCAGCCGGTTTCAACGATAGAGCGCCTCGCTAGCTATTCAGAGCAACCTTGCTGTCGTCGTAAAACTGCAGACGTCGGTCGCGGGCATACTAATTGGCCTAATCGCGCGTATCCGTGATCCCGATCATTTTTGCAGCCCGTCACGACAAGGCGCGCGCTTCGCAAACGATATTTTCAGCTAGTTCCCAGCGAAAACGTGTACAATCCGTCGGCTGCCGTATCGATTAACGCTTAACCGCCGTAACCAACCTCTCCGCCTTCGAGAACAATAGACCGTGAATAAGTGGCCGTTCTTTGCAGAAGCTAATAACGCTGGAGCAACATTAGCGCGTGTTTCTCTCCCTCGCGTTCCTGGGAAAACATGAGTGAATTATTTTTCGCGACGGGAAATCGAATGGATAGGCAAAGTTTACGGTCGATCGCTCGCGGATCGCTTATCCCGCGACCCGTATTATTATATCGATTGGGAACTGAACATCCGAAATTATTCATGGGGCAACGTCGATTCGTAAAGACCGCGTACACGTTTTATGTGTTAGTGCTTTTTATGAGAAACCTCGGCGTATTAGGTAAACTGGAAAGTAATGTCGTTTCTTTTACATTAAATCGAAACAAATTTTTGATAAATTTCTATTTTTAATTAATTATGTAATTGCCCTCGTTATCGACAACCTCTTGCCATCTAGTGTGCAAATTTTTCAATGCCAGATCGATGAAAATCAATCACCTGATGAGTGATAGACAAGTATTTAAAATTGCAAATACGACATTACTTTCCAGTCCACCTAATACTTTCTTCATCTTCGTTTATTCATTGAAACATGAATTTATAAAAGGACTCCCATCTTTATCATTTAATCGTCCAAGTTCTTTAATTGACATTGACAAGCGACGGTTGTTGAATGCCAATGTACCGTTTGATCGCGGTCCGTGGACTGCTTGAATTCATTGAAACATTTCAGAGACGAAAGACCCTATTAAGATCCGTTTTGAATGCTGGAGTCGTTGAAACTCGGCAGCTGGAGACTTTGCTCCGTGAAATCAGATCCGAGGCATCTTGAAAGAAAGACGGTATCTGAACGAAAAATGCTGTGTACCTGGAGGAAAGACGTAAGAGTGTAGCCACTGTCGAAAGGGGATTGTTTATCAGCTGGATCTTTCCGTGGGCGGCTAAATCACGGTTTGCCTCTTGTTCTAGTTTTCCCTCTTCGTTGCCTCGATACCGACAAATCACGTTAATTGAAAAGGATATAACGAGGATGTATAGAGCTGTTTAATTGCAAAATGGAAAAGGACTCGAATTTAAAAATATCCAACATGAAATCCTTCTTACCAAAGAATATCCAACGTGAAACTCTTCAACCCAAAGAATATCCAACATGAAACTTTTCAAACCAAAGAATATCCAACATGAAACTTTTCAAACCAAAGAATATCCAACATACAATCGTTCAAACCAAAGAATATCCAACAGAGAATCCTTCAAAGCAAAGAATATCCAACATGGAATCCTTCAAACCAAAGAATATCCAAGATGAACTTCTACAAACCAAAAAATATCCAAGATGAACTTCTACAAACCAAAAAATATCCAACATGGAATCCTCCAGACTGAACAAACGCTCTCGACTAAATACATATGTTTCCACATATCCATTCCAAACCGACCGTGTCTTATTAAGAGAGATACAGTCCCCATAAATCAGGCCATCTGGCGTCGAACAGGATTGTTTCTCGACTCAAATACGGCTCGAAGCCAAGACTGAATAGTGCAATACATTTGATGACGTTGTTGCCTACTGGTAATTACAACAACCGTGCGAACCGTTGCAATTATTCGCGATATCATTATAGTCCTGGCAGGTCAATCCAGACTGGTAATGCCCACCGAAAGTTCTGCATTTCCTCCGTGGCCGGTGCATGATTTCACGTTGAACTATGAAGCGGATTAATTGACACACCGGCGGGGAGTCGCGACGCTGCGCCCGTACGGTCGTTAAAACCGTTTGTATTAATTAGCTTGTCACGTTGACGCCGGCGAGCCGGAAATTCAATATTCTTTATTTTTAGAGAAATTTTCCGCTGCATGGAAATGGTCGTTCACCCATTAATTAACAACGAGTGATCATTGTTCCGCAGCTTGTACAATTTCTTCGCAGCTTAACCCTCTGGTACATGCACTACAGGAAGAAGGAAAGGGGAATAAGATTCAAAGGATGTTAAGAAACATGAGTAAATTATGGTTAACGCATATGGTTAATATAAGCCGTGGTAGTCTTGAGCAAACACTCGACTCAAATCTTCGAACGCGAAGCGTCCTCTGGTAAGCATATTACAGAAAGAAAAAAATAGGAATAAGATTCACAGGATATTAAGAAACGTAAATAAATGATGGTTAAGGTGCAATATAAGCCATAGCAGTCTTAAGCAAGCACTCGACTCGAGTCTTCGGATGCAAAGCGTCAAAAGGTATCGCCAGCATCCTATGTTTTCCCAAACGGATGCCGTCGCGTTAATCGTCCGACACGGGTGACGTAAACCCTCGAAAGGGCAGTCCCATTTTTCCCTCCCTCGGTAATTGTTAATTACTCGATTTCATCGGATGTTGTTCGTCACGAGATTAAACGGGCGATGCTCGTTCCATCGAGCCCAGGCTCTATTGCGTGTTGGGTGAACAAGAGGAAACGCGGTGAATTGCCCTTCCAATCATCCCATTATGCGAGCCTGCTTAGCTCTAGTACCGCCAACTGCCCACAGAACAATGTCTTTCATTTACGAGAATTTCGTTGCAAGATGTTATCTCCGCGATCCAGTCGACGCCCGCGAACCGAGAACTTCCTTGGAACCGTTCCTCGCTCAAACGATTCCGCATAATCGCAGCGTGCGAATAATTGAAACCAATCGACCCGCGAGCCACGTGCTCGAGCCCATAAAACCGGGGATAGCAATTGCTGTTGTACACAATGTGGATGGAGCGTGAATAGTTGCTCTTAATTCCGGATTCGATCCGGTTTCTGTTGCGATAGAGATTCGGTGCGCATTAATTGATGATTAGGGGTCGCTGGGGGGTGGGGGTGGGCAGTTTGATTAGCTCTGATTAGCTCTCCCAGGTGGCTATTCTATATCGAAGTATATATATAGAATATGTATGCTGAATTTTTTATTCTATTTGCATATTTGTATTTGCGATAGACATTGTGATCTTGACTATTGGAACGTAAATACTCGATATCAAGTCTGAATAGTGCGATACATTGGACGATATGCTGGTGATCCTGATAATAATCTTTTCATAAAAATAACAGATCCAAGATTATTGTTTAGTTTAGTTTAGAATACATATGTATGATACATATGTAATATATGTGTATAATATATATGTATAATATATATTCGAAATCACAGTGTCTGTCATAAATACAAATATGCAAATACAATAAAAAATACACCATTAGGAAGACGTTCATAAGACACACGTGGCTACTGCACGAGCCTAGTGGCTAGATCGAGAACAAATTTTTCTGAAAATTGAACCCACAATGTCTTCTCCGAGAACTACACACAGCCAAACAGCAAGAAGTAAACCACTTTCCCTGTAATTACGCTAATTGCCACGAATTACGAATCGCGTTTGACCCTTTCCGTGCAAATGAAATCGTCCAATCAGACCGCGGTTCTCCCGGCCTCTCGAGGAACCGCCGAAAGCAGCCGCAGTGGACGTAGGTCGCGAACTTCGTTACGCTCGGACGACGGTTTCCAAGCGGGCAATGTCAATGTCTCTTCAGGATATCCTCGGTGGGTCAGAAGCACCAGCCGATCCGTTCTCTGTCTTGCTCGAGGAACGAGGACCCAGAGCGACGCACACCGCCCCCTCTGGGATCTCCTGGCCCCACCTTCTTCCCGTTGTAGTTGTCGTTGTCGGCTGAGGTCGGAGTTCATTGTGCCACAAGTGCATTCCGAGTGCCGGCGACGCCAATTGCTCGTTACGAACGTGAGGCCAGTTGCGTGTCGGTTCGTGAAAGCGACGGTGACGTTCGCCCTTCGTCTTTCGGGCTCCTCCTGAAACTCTTTTCCGTCCGGCGAGGGTCCGGGAGAATCCTCGTTCGTCCTGCGCGGTTCCTTGCGCAACCGATTCGGGGACCTCGGTGTCGCGGTGAAAGGGAAAGTGTCGCTGGACTTTCCGAAGGTTGCGGTTTCGGTGTGGCCAACGGCGAAACAATTGCCGAAGCTGGACGCGTTCATTGTACGTCGTTCGAACAACGGAGACGCGATATGCCATAACAGACTGTCGCCGGTTGGGATCGTCGAGGGATCCTTTGTGCACGTCTCCGGGACAGATCGAGTTAATTGCAGAAGCTCCGTCTACGAAGACAGGTTCGTTGACGGGATAAAGGGGTCCTAGCGAAGCGGAACTCGCGTTATCGAGCGACAAGAAGAGTTCACCGTTTCCAAAGCGAGGGCTTCCCCGGTTATTACGCTCGCCTGTCATCCGTTTCGTTCGCTCTTGGGATTTTAATCAACGCACGTACTGGACCGTGCGACGCTGCTGGCGTTCGGGAACAATTTTGATATAGGTGTGAGTTTTATTGGTGTCACGAGTCTCCCGTTTCACGAAACGTGTTCGTTAACTCGCTCTGGCTACGTGCTGACACTCATCGTGAGGTTTCAGTGAAATAACGTACGATTAAACGCGTTTATTATCAACTGTTTGACTTAGATAGCGGTTTCCGTGCGCTCGAATTACTGGTTTTGAAATTCACACCTCTGTCAAAATTGTCACGCATACGGGCGCGAAGGAAACTCGTAAATTACCATTCCATCGACCAAAGCTAATTATGCAAGATTACTTGGAATTCTCCGAGGCTCGTTCGAAATCACGTATGAAAGTGAGTCAACGGTCAGCGGACTGTTCGCCAGGTGCCATAATTACGGATTCCTGAGCGAAAATTAACCGACCCGCGTCGACCGTAATAATTATTATTTTCCCATCGAACGTGCATAGGTAACCGTGAGAAACTATTTTCGTTTAAGCGAATATTCTAGCTTAACGTCGAGGAACAATTGATCCTGTCGTGCATTTTCTTGTGATTTAAGATACGCAATCTGAAATCTAACCGTCTATCGAACCATGCGTATAGCGATATGCCAAAGCGATTGAAAGCATTTTTACCAAGTATTTCCTCGTTGAAGATATCTAATAACTCTTGGAAAAATATAATAAAATTCACGCGATAGAGGGCAACATTTCTCTTTCACTGAGATTTAATTACTGGGTTGTCCGGAAAGTCACGTCGATTTTCGGTAGATGGTACAGGTCTGAATATATTGGATTAGTTGAAATAACAAATAACATATATCCATCCCTTGAAAGGTAGAAGTGCTGTGAAACAAAATTGTACCTATGTAATTCAATAAATATATATCAAAATTTAATTGTGCCTTTGAATTTTTCTTAAAAATTGCCACGAACTTTCTGGACAATCTAATAAATAAGACATAACAAAGATTTTGACGAGCCCTTTAATCATTCGTTACTCCGAAATGTCCATCGCTTGTCGTACGACGAATTGACGTGATAATAACAGAAAATTACACGTCACGTAGGAAAAAAAGAGCACGGCGACGCACGTGGTGTTTGCGTGAGCGAGAGTGATTCGCCACGCGTTCGATACATTTCGCCAGCGTCGTTCACGTAACGGTCGGACTTTTCGCCTCCGACGTCTCGGAAAAATAGCGAAATAAAGTCATACCGCGTCGTAACTGGTTTACAACAGGACGAAAGTAATTGCACATGGGTTTTGCATTCTACGGGTAACGAGTGGTCGTTGAGGACGTCACCTGTTTCCGTTGCAACGGGCATCAACTTTCACGGTGGAGGGACTCGTGGAGAATTTATGGTCAAAATGTTCGTCAAGGAGGGAAATATTAGGTTGTCCAGAAAGTTCGTGGCAATTTTTAAGAAAAATTCAAAGGCACGATTAAATTTTGATATATATTTATTGAATTACATAGGTACAATTTTGTTCCACAGCATTTCCACCTTTCAAGGAATGGATATATGTTATTTGTTTTCAACCAATCCAATATATTCAAACCTGCACCATCTACCAAAAATCGACGTGGACTTTCCGGACAACCCGATAGATTTAAGGACATAAGTATACATTCAAGTAAATAGTGCAATTTTTTGGAAGTATTTCCGCGGAGAATATGAAAGATATCAGCTGGCAGATAATAAAGTAGCTGTTTTGTGTACATTCTCACAGTTTTCATTTGAAATCAATAGGGATTTAAATTTACTTCAAAGACGTATCTTTCTTCTATAAGAACCTATATTCGGAATAAAATTATTGTTTAAGGTATCTTTTTATTGCGAAAAACGTTATACAAAAAAAATGACAAGAAATTGTGCTCTTTCGTTTAAACACCTCCAGAAATGCAATATTGAATTTCTCAGGGGAGAATTTAGATCCATATAGAAGAGAGACATGTCTTTAAAGTAAATTTAAATCTCTATTGATTTCAGATGAAAACTGTTACCTCCTGAATGTACGCAAAAGGAAGCTGATATTTTCAATATTTTCCGAGGAAACACTTCGAAAAAATTACAATATTTACTTGAATACGTGTATAAAATGTTCTGAAATTTTCATTAAGTTATATACATTCCCTTTTTGCTAAAAAATTCATGCAAATCGTTAAAAATACGTAGTCCTAAATCTATTTCCCCCCCTAAACAGTCTTCGTTCTCGACGAAATCGATCACCAAAGTTTAATATTAATAGCGATAATAACTTTTAATTGGCAACACGGTATAGCAGAGATTAATCTCTCTAGGAAATTCATCTTTCAGATCTACGCTGTTTACATGAAAACAACCAAGTTAATTGAGCCGTGCGAATGTCTCTCCATTGCCAAGTTTGACACAATCGAGCCGATCGGTTAGTCGAAATCCTATCGCGTAGATCTACGCCGAGATCTAGCTTCAGACCTGGTGTCTTTACATAAGAGGAATCCCAGATGGCTATCTCGTCTCGAATATGTAACGAACATTCCTGGTAGCTTGTTTCATTCATAATGTAACGCCGGAGTTGCGCGAGGGATGAAAGAAATTTCTCACAGCAAAAACAGCTGCGTCCCGTGGAAAGTATTTCCTGAGAACGTGGAAAAAAAAGAAATCGAGGGAAATTGAACTGTAAACCACATGCGGTCGATGATACTCGACCCAGAACAGTTGGTGACATTAGAGATAGATGAAAGCTCGCGAGGTATCGGTGCTGTTATCGATTTCACGGTACGCTCGGATTCCAAATACACGATTTATCGCCGCACCGTATTTTGCGTGAAAGGACCGACCGTATTTTGCCTTGGAGACAAAAAACTCGAGTAACCGAATCTGACAGATTTCTCTGTGCGACTGATTTCCATTAATTCCAGGGATTAAATTAGTTTCGATTTTCCTTCATTTTCCCTCTGGTTCCTTCTAAATGGACGTTCGAAAACGCACCGGCTCTCGAATTTTCGTCGACGTTCCGGTGGAGAGAATCTGTTTGGCGACGCGTTATTTACAACCAGTCGTATGTTTATTAGATGCGTCACTCGTATCGCACAGTAAATCAGCCAATTGGAGCAACTTAATGCTTCCTGTCGCGAAGGACGTCCTTTGAAATGGATCGTTTGTCCCTCTTACGTCGAGCATCGACGACGCAGCTTCCGAGATAAATCTGCTTACAACTGCTACGCTTCCAGAGAGCGTGGAACACACTGAGCGGAAATTTTTGCGAAACGACTCCTTTCAACCGTTCTCTACATCCTTACCATTCGTCATCTTGATTGTAAATAAAAAACAATTCGGTCACCGTCGAAACCCGATTCGCTCCAAAGTTGCTCTGTGCTTTGTGCTTTGTCTTGTTTAAGTGGGTACAGCAGGATATCTCGGAAGATGTTACAGTTATTAACCCTTTGCACTCGAGAGGTGACTCTCAGTCACCATTAGGTTTCACGCAGCAAATCTACAATACCTAATGTTTCTTTAAGTTTAATTTCTTTGGAGCTCGAAGTGTCAATAAAATGATTGTCGGTGAGGTAAAGGTGACCTTATTCTCAAGTCTAAATAGATTAGAATTCGTGACAATAGAATGCTAAGAGAAATCTCGAAAGGCCTCGAGTGCAAAGGGTTAAGAACCTGTTTCTACAAAAATTGTCATATAATAATAATTTTCTTCGTGTGGGTGAAGTAATAGAGAAAATCTGGAGGTAAATCTAATTTTGTTTACCGGAATACTATATTTTCTCCTCCAAGAAATAATAGCAGACAATGAGACAAATTCAAAGAGGTGCTACACTACGACGTTCCGAGTTTAGCAAAGATAAATCGTTAACTTATGTTTACGTTCTGCATCGGCTTGTCAAACACGACACCCAATATAACAAGGAAATATTATAAACTCCGCTTTCACACGTGGTCTCAGAGCGAGTCCCGTTGAGCCCCCGGATGACCACAAATGGATGAAACCGATCAACGGCCATCGCACATCGAACTACAATACTTTCTCTGTAAAATTCACGTTTCTCTCCCTCTTGCTAGATATGAGCTAGATATGGAGCGGCACGGGGTCGTTTCGCGGCTCTTATTACCGATAGTAACTAGACACTTTGCGTTTAGAATCGCTCGCAGTCCGGATTACCGTTTGCTTCCGGCAATATGACACACGAGACGATGCCGGAGCCACGTTTATTCGGTCGACGGCGACGTCCATCCAGGTTGTTCGGAGGCAGCCCGCTCTGAAGACGACGACTGAATCCTCAAGCTTCGCGTTTGTGAGTACCAGAACTGAAAGTTCATCTAGATTTATGAACGAGATTCGCAGGAACCCAATTGTCCCGGTTTCCAGTTGATCGAGATTCCGGAGTTGAAATGAGCGTCGCGAGAATCTGGCAGCTGATCCCGTTGCTGATCATATCTTCTTCGAGGGTATTTTCAGCCAGCAACGTCTGCCCGCGAATAGAGAGGTGAGTAGTATTTCGAGTCTATGATCGATGGATCGAAATTGCGAAAAGATTATGGAATCGTGGGAACGTTTTCTGCCGTACCAACATTGAACGGAGCCATGGACGAGCCTTGGCAATAACCCAGACTGTTTATTACGCGGTCACCCGGTCCTACGGCATACCAACGCCGTCCCGATAAGGATATCGGCCCGCGAGAAACGGATAAGTTAATTGATCGAACGTTTGCAGTTACACGGTCACCTCGATGGAAACGTACACCGAGCCGGTTACCGTCAATACGTTCACCTGGTGCCTCCAACTCCCGCCCAGGTGCCTGAAGACGTGGACCGAGACGAAGAAACGCTATCGAGTAAAGGTGAGCGATATAGTAAAACAACGAAGCCGTATCAACCGGAACGTGTCGTTTCTTAATGCTCGGAACGTCCGAAAACTCTTTCGATTCGACTCGTCGTCCACTCGAGGCTCCCGAGTATGAAAAGAAGGATATTATTTCGGGTGGAGAAAAGTGAAACGCAAAAAGTCGACAGAGCCGGCCACGGGTTTCGCAATTTCTCATCTCGTCGCGTCGGAGGAGCCTTTCCTGTCGCGCAGAACGAAAGGGAAGTTGGAATGGACCGAGGGGCTCGCAATAAATCCCCAGGTGGCTGTGTAACGATCCACGGTACACGCGGCAATAAAACGTCGGGTCTTCCGGTTATGGCACTTCTTCGTCCCGTTGTGGACGACAAACGCGAATAATACCCATGCTTCACGACCGCGGGGAATACTATTCGACGCTTTTATCTTGAAACAAACGTTGCTCGCCTCTTCTTTAACACGTTGGCTGTCAAACTGTTGATCGTCAAAATTTCTACGAGGGTAAAATTTTCTTTCTGTACAATTAAAAATGGTACTATCTAATATCTGCGATCAAACTCATTTTTGCAATTCCTTTAAAATTCATCGATCCTACCTAGATTTACTTTCTTTAACACCTCACCTTAAAATTAATGTGTTTAATTCCTTCGTAAAAATCCTTGTCACATATACAGCCAATCCCATAAGTAATCGTACCTTTTATGTTTATTGAAGACATTTGCCTAAATTAATTTGTAGGTTTGATGTTTCTAAATAAATTTTTTATTATAAATATATACATACATTCTCTAGTAGTCTATTTATCTAGACGTCTACCTACCTATCTAGAAATCTATGTACATATTTGTAATGAATCATTTATTTGGAAACATCAAACCTGTCATTTAATTCAGACCAATTTCTTCGATGGACACAGGGGGGGGGGGTACGATTACTTATGAGTAGTCTGCGGATCTTTATACAGAATAAGATCTTAGCAAACGTACCTACAAAAATTGAACCTAAATAGAAATTTATTTTACTCAACACACTACAAATTTCCTATAAATGCATAAAAATCCGCAGTCTACTTGTGAGACTGACTGTATATTACGCGACGGTCAACGTGTTAAGAGCACCACATGGAAAACAAGTCGAAATTATTATATCGTAGAATTCAAAACCGCCCGTGGTACAGAGGACAAATTCAAGACTACTCAGTTCGTTATGTGACAGTTGAGGCTAATTACAGGAGAGTCAAAGTCTTCCTGGTCCACGTGATCCGTCTGAAAAACGCACGTGACTCGTTTAACGCGGAACTCGGAATCCACGAGCCCTCCGGGAAAATTCTAGGACACCGAATTCCTACTGTCGGTATTTCAATTCCCGTTGTAGGAATCTGACAATTGGCAGAGTGACAGACGACCGGAAGGAGCTCCCTTCGTGGAACTTTTCCCCGCAAGTTTTTCGCGCGGCTCTGTAGAAAACATTGCGCGAGATTTATTTCACCCGACCGCGATAAAGTATCTTTTTCGATCTCGTTACGTGGGACGGTGTTAATTTTCATGTCGACGTTGACCTAAGAGATTTATTTAATTACTCGGTTCCTGGTCGGCTGTCGAAACGATACGCCAGCTAACTTATCGAGATATCGAGGCTTCCGCCATTCGTGCAGCCTTTTCAGTTTTTCATACTGTTTCACGTAATACTACTGGAGATTCGAACGGTGGGGTTCACTTGGCTTTTTTAGTCATCCGAAATGAGTGGATAATTTAGTTAGGTATGAGTTCTGAAAACATCTTCGAATCACAGACAGAATCGGAACATAATTTTAGACTGCAAAAACGATTTCATTAAAGTCAAACTTCATTTTTACCACAAGTTCGAACAATACGAATCCCGAGAACAAAACAGACCGAACACCGGCCACTCTCGATTACGCAACGGGTGAATAATGATTAGAAGAAAGTCCCGGAAAAACATCGGCCATTAACGAGCCGCGTAAATGATATAATTTTCCCTTCTTCGTCGCGGAAAGCTGGCCACCGTTGGAATAATTAGGTGGAGCAGCCCGACACAATTAAGAAAGTTAAGCGCGCGCCAAGCGGAACGATTCGATACATTTTGTAACCGGTAATGCTCGTTTCGCGAGGCACGGAACAAAAACAAAGGTAAAACGAGCAATTGTCCGTGAGATTCCTTGGGACGGTGATTAAATTATGCGATACGCGCGAACACGGCCCGATTAATTACCGTGCAGAACAGATAAATCAATTAAGGCACAAGATTCCTTCGTCGTTCATTTATCTCCCGGATCGATCGAGATCCCGATTTCGGTAGTCAATGGCTAGGATCGCGCTTACGCAATTCGCATGATCTGCATCGACACGTGGCGTAAGCTATTACCACCGGAAGAAAGCGAGCACGGTGTTCGATGCAAATGCGCTCGAACTGGAGCAAACGTGGCGGTTCCCGTATCTAAACAGTAAAAGCAGTAAAAGCAGTTTCACCGCTTAGACGCGGGACACCGTGCGGCATTTCAAACCTAAGTGATTTCACGGATGGTAATGCGATTGAATACATAATCGCGCGAGGTGATAACATCTCTTTGCTAAGAGCACGCGGTGAAAACGAGCACACGTCCATTTTCTTTCACTGGATAACAAAAACGTGGTGTTTGTATATGAGTAACGCTACAGCGACAGTGACTGACGTTGCACGAATTTTTTTTTTTAAATCCTTATGTACGCAATGGTAAATTAGAGAATTCATTTTCGGAGTATTTTCATCCTTTCAATTCGACTTGCAACAGCTGCAAAAAGTACTTTTTCCAGCGAGCCCGCGGAACTTTGCAAAAGTAGAGAGTTACTACTGTCAAAATCCATGTTGACCAGATAACAAAAATGAAATGTTTGTATATGAATAGCGCAACTACGTGACAATCGCTAAAATTTTTGTAAAAAAATCTTTATGTATCCAATGGTGAATTAGAGATTTTCACCCCTCGAATTCGGCTCGCAACAGCTGCAAAAAGTATTCTTTCCATCGAGCCTGCGAAACCTCGCAAAAGTAGAGAGATACCGCTGTCATAATCCATATCTGTGGATATCCCTTGTCAGATTTTTTTTTAGGTATCCCGCAAGTGCACAGGCGTGTACACGGAACACCCAGCCAGGCGTTGCGCTGACAATGAGACCATATTCCTGTGAGAAACGATCGTGGTAGCAGCGGTAGCATCTAACCGGCGCCATATATCGCGCGTTGCCCAAGTCTCTCACGGCTGGAGCGGGCTTAATATTTATTGCGTAGGAACATCGCGGCGTATTTCGCTCCGTATTACGCCTGAGCGTTGCATAACGCGAGCGTAATGCGTAAAATCGACTTTCGAACGCTGATCCACGTGAATTCATCGGCTACAAACACCCACACTGAAATTAACCGACTAACAATGTTCGATGTTTCGACGGAAACAGAATAAAATTATCAGCTGCGAATCGTTCGATGTGGAGCATCGGTGACATTTTAATGAACGTAGAGTCCTTTGGAAATTTTGTTGCTAGATGGAGGAGGACCAAGCCTTTTATATCGATTAGATTCAAGACTTTCGCGAGTAGTTTGAAACGAACTAATCGAGCAGTTTTAGCGTTAACGACGCGAGTCGCGAATTTACGCTAGCGAAATTAGTACCGTGGCGTTTTGGAATTTCCGACGGGTAGTCTGTCGGTTCCGCTAACGTTGGCGTGGATTTCGCCATCGGATCGATGACTCGCACGCACTCCTTCGAAAGCGTTCGACCTGGGACGTCGCGTTGCGCACGAGGAGGATGTGACCGATAACGTAATACCTGCGCCGAAGAACGAGGATCTCCCTGGCCGTTGCCATTGTGAACGTCGAGGCATTGACAGCGAGAAGGAAGAGGTAGATGATTATCCGATACCTAGGGAAGTCGAGGAGTGCCTAAACACCGCAACAGAAACTGCTGTCGTAAACCACACGTGGTCGACATTCTCTTAACGAACAACAGTGGCTACGTAAATGCATCACCCCGAAAATATTAAATTTATTGAATTTACAGAAGCTATTTTATTTTTTCTAAAGCATCCACGGGATCAGGATGGGTATGAAATGAATAAAAATCGGTGGACTGATTTTCGCGCCGACCGCAATCCCATAATTAACTTCGGTGATCGACAGATTGAGAATGAGAGAAAATAAACTCTATCATCGTTAATGGGAACGGTAACTGAATCATGGGAAGTGTTACGCGCCAATTTCAATGATACTTTGTTGATAACGATTGACCCTTCTGCATAAACGCTCCATAAGTAAGATAAGTATATCGGGTTATGACGTGCTATCCATGTTAAGCATAATTGACGGACCTCGTGGTGTAAGTGGGGCAGTTTCCATACAATTCAATAAACAATACGAAACAAATATTTTCATACGAAGCGCGGGCTTCCCGGGAAATCGATTCTGGAGATCTATCGAGTACGCGAGCAATCGAATGCTACTACCGTGTCTGTCCATTACTCGCCGTTTCTACTCGTGTCGGCGTTTGTAAACATTGCTGGCGATACGGTACTTATCTATTCCAACTAGTTGCAGCTAGTTGGAAGATAGTAGGTTCAACGGTGAACAACACCGTGGCATCATCGCTATTTGCAAACACCAACACCGATAGAAACGGTGAGTAACAGACAGACACGTCGATTCGTATTCGCGTAAGGATAATTTTATTCGTACAACGGATGACAAGTAAAATCGAACGTACCACGATTCTATATAACCAGACAACTCCCCCAGATAATCATTTTAAACGCTTGTCTTAAAAAATGATTACGCGCTCGTACTTTAAACGGCCGATCCATAAATTCGTCTCTATCTTGTATTAGCACATCCACGACCAACCGTGTTCGGTGCCGAGGAATGCACGGGGTGGCGATAAAAACGGAATTAGCTTTATAACAAGACCGTAACCGAGACAATGAGAACCTTGAAAGCCTCGCAGAAGTGGAG